TATATATATATATATATATATATATATATATATATATATATATATGGATAAATGAAACAAAGTTGTTCATCATTTCATACACAAAAGACCTTGAAGAAAAGGTATCCCTAGAGGGATAAATTTTTAGGATTAATTTTATTCACATGAAAATAGTGTAATTAATGAATGATAGAATTATTTCGAATGAATTTTTCTTTCTTCTTGCTCCCAACATGTCTCAATGTTCAGGCTCCCTACGAAATGCCCCAAGTTAGAAGAATGTTCATGTTCAAATGAACAACTCAATGCCTTAGGTTTTAATGGTATAAAAAAGTCAATTTTGAGTCTAAAAAGACAATGGTGTGACTTTATTGACTCAAAGGAATGTTCAAAAGTTTCAAAGGTTGGTAATGCCAAAATCTGGTATTTTGGTAATGACCATGAGTTATTTTGGGTAAAGAATCAAGGTATTTTATTTTGGGGTTTGAGACTGGATAAGAAAGGTCTAATCTTGCCATGTCAAAAATCTATAATTCTTGAAGAATTAAAAGAATCCTCAATTCATTTAATATTCAAAGAACTAAAGATTAAAACTCGATCAATTATTCCACCTTAAAAGGTAGCATAAATTATGTCGTTAAAAGATTAAGCAAACATGAAAGATCAAAAACATGTTCAAACAAAACAATACTCTCAATACAAATGGTAAATTCAATGCCCCCTTCTTCGATTATCCATGCCCCTGAATCAATCAGGTTTTGGATCCTGCACTTTAGAGCTTTACAGCTCTCAGAGGAATGTCTGGAGCTTCCTATGTGGAAACTGCACACAGTTTTAACATCGTAGCCCTCAGGGAATGAGAACTCTTCTCTTAGATTATCCTAGAAGGCTCAATCCTACAACCTGCTGAACAAACTTCCACTGTACTGATTTCAATTTTTTCTTTAATTGTTCAAATCTTGCTTCTATGTGGTGTCACATGATTAGGACCACTTTATCGAATCCTTCATGACTCAATTTCATGTTTATAAAAATACTTAAAAATGAAATGTAGATGCAAAATGCAAAAATGCATGAAATGTTCGAAGCATTGATCCGAAAACATGTCTGTTATTATAAATAATCTTTATTGGGACAAAAGTGTTATTTCTTAAGAGACAAAATATCCTGACAGCTTCTGACAGGTTGACTAGTCTTCTGCCTTCGTTTGTCACCGGTTGAATACACTGTCGAACTGCTCCGACTTCTAGCTAAACCGTACAAGTAACAAGCTACTTTTTGTACTTATTCCCAGAAGTATCGAAAGACAACATCATTGGCTTTCATCCTTTGTTGAGCATGTTCCCAATGAAATTGTCGTTGGAGCCCTCCATCGATATGAACTATTTGAATTTCATTTGTTTGTTTCTTGAAATCGTCAACAATGGCTTCTAATTCAGCTATCGTTTTTCCATGTTGTTCTTATTGCCTTTGAAGGGACTCTCCGGGTCAGTAACCTTTTTCTCGTTTGCCTCTGCAAATTTTACCAACTCATTTTTTACTTTTGATGTGCTTGGTGTTATCCCGGTCCATTCTGAGTCTTTTCTGATCATAGTCGGACTTCTGAGCTTTTCATGTCTTGTATTATAACCCCTTTATCCATTAATTCAAATTATTTGTATTTAACAAACACGTTTTTCGTGGATCAACACCTCTTTTGAATGATGCAAGTAATGAAAATAAAATGAAAGAGAACAAAAATGAAAGGGAACAAAAATGAAAGGGGAAACAAAGTTAGTGAGATAAAGATAATAATCAAAATGATAATGAAAATAAAAAGTCATACCCCACATGTTTATTATTCCTTCCCGGACATGATCTCTACCCCGCATGTTAATTTTGAACAAGTCCTAACATCATATCTTTCTAGTACGCATGCTTTGAACAGAAAGTAAAGCAGGAAATAACTCAAGACAGCCTAGGATTTGAAATAAAGTTTTAGGGTAGGCTCTAACTCCTTGTAGTCTCCCGATTTAGGTTCTAAAGAAGGTACCCGAGTTCTCCTTGCTGGTGCCCCCTTGGGCTTGCCAGACCCTTAGTCCTAAGCCCATTACAAGCTCATGTGAACTAAGTTAAACTCGAGAGGATATATCCCCTTATGTCCGCACGGTGAATAAATTCACACGAAGAAATAAGGTATATGAATATCAAAGGTTACTTGCTAGGCCTATGCGGATAATAAATTCTCACGAAGGCGTCGCTTTCGCCCCCACTTAAAAGGGTTCGGAGCTCGGGTATAGAGCCTTAGCTGCAAAAAGTTAAAGATTTGAAATCATTGAAAAAAAACGTTAGTATAACTATTTATTTGAAAAATAATCAAAGATAAATAATTGGAATCGAATAAATAAATTAAAATTAAAATTTACTATTTTCACTTAAAAAAGCCAACCAAAAATTAATTCTAGCCTGACTCACTTACCTGTCGCGGAGTCGCCAACTTGTTGCGGCCGTATTTCGGGTGGGCCTAGAATTGGGCTTCAACTTGAATGAAATGTGTTAGAGTCACCACCGATTAGTTTAAACTATATTTAGGTAGATCATACACCATCTTACCTGATCTTTGTTTTACCAGAAATATGTCGGGTTCGGGAGTCGGTTATAGTCAATGTAGGGTTAGCACCCTTGTACTGCCCTTTCAGTACCAAATAATTTATCGGTTGTCTTAATCGTGAAAATTAAAATTTAAAAATTCAATTTGAATAATTACCTTTGATCAATTGAGATTACCTTTAAAAGGTCAAAAAGGTTAGATTGAAAAATAAATATTAAATAATTGAAGGAAAAAATAAATTAATTAACTAAGAAAACAACAATAAAAATGTTAAGGAAAAAATAAAAATAAAAATGGAAAAAATGTTTAGTCTTTAAAAAAAATAAAAGAGTGCAGAAAACAAATATATATATATATATATGATGTTAAAAGAAATAAAAAAATATTAAAATTAAAAGAAAAAATATATAAAATAAATAAATAAAATGTAAAGGACACAAATAGCAAAAATAAAAGGTTAAAGGTCTAAAATATCAAAAATATAAATTTAAGGGTCTAAACCAGAATTAACAGAAACAAAAATGACTAAACAGTAATTACAAAATAAATCAGAGCCCAAATCACAAATATTAAATAATGCAGGCACCATAAATGAAAATAACCCATAAATAATATTTACATACTAAAATAAAATAAACAAGAAAAATGGAGGACTAAATAACAATTAAACCTAAACATTTATACCGAATCAGTGACTAAAATAAAATATGCACAAATATGAGGGTCAAATCTGAATATTAGCAAACAATACATAATATGCAAAAAAAAAATGACTAAAACATAAAAGTTGAAACCTAGGTGCTCTAAATCAAACAAATTAAAACTCCATGAGATGTCTGAAATAAAACATTGCAATGAAACAGGGGCTTAAATGGATATTCACCCCTAACAAGAAATCACGCTAAAACCCTTGGCAAAACAGCGTCATTTTGAATGGGCTATAAATACCCCAATTTCTTCTCATTTTCCTTTCTAACTTCATTTCTTCTTCTCCTTTTCTTTGGGTAGAGAGAGAAGCTCTCCCCTCTCTCTACCAGAGTCGGCGAGAACCTTCGCCGGTGAGTGGCTCCGCCACAAGCCGCCTCGGTGGTCGTCGTCCGCCGTCGTCCGACACCGTCCTCCGCCGGTAACTACCGTGCTCCGATGGCTTTTCAATCCCCGATTACATCAGTGGTTGCATCGAAAAACGTCTGGATCTTCACAAATCGAACGAAAACCGTTCGACTTTCCCTCTCCCTCTCCCCGATCTACTCATCCTGCCGTTGGATCAACTTGGTCTCGGGATATGTTGTTCCCATCACCAACGGGCGGCTCCTCAGCGTTCGGATCGTCGGGATTGGCCTCTGATCGTCGTCCTCGTTCATCGGCCGAATAGGTATATTCCCTTCTCTCTCTCTCGTTGTCTTTTTCCCCTTGCTTGTTGATATACATGTGTTTAAATAGCCTAGTGATTGGCTATTTTTAGACAGATTTAGAGTTTCATTTGGACTCAAATGTTTCGGTTTAGAGTCCTATTCGAACTAAAAAAACGCTCCTTGCTGACTTGGTTGTTTCTTTAGTGTCGAGAATTTCGGGGATGGAGTTGTTGGGCGAAAATTAGTGTCTACACTAAGTTTCTAGGATGTGTGCGTTATTAACAATTAAGAAAGATTCTGAACAAATACTTATAATCATTTCATATCATTTAAAAAAAATCAAACTAAATTAAATTCAGATTTTAATAAAATCATTAAAGTTTAAGTCTACCTTACTGTCGTCCTAATTAAAATGTTGAGAACTTTATAATCAATTTAAACTTTGACTAATGCACGAATCAAGCTATCTTAATAGTTAAAGGGATGTCATTATTCTTAAAAGTCTTAGGTTCGAACACTAAAGACGGTAAGAGTGGTGAATTTTCATTGTTGAATTTATGAAAATCTTTAGAACGTATACAATTTTTTGTGATCACCTTCATCTGTCTACTTCATTAACGTTGAAATTTCAGGCCATTGCTGATCGTAAATTATTGGTTTTGCCCTGTTGACAAGGTTTAGGACAAATTACTTAGATCCACATGTTAAAAGGTTGAATCTTTTGTTTATAAATTCAGGAGTTGTCCGGTGTGGATGAGATTCTAACATCAAAGTCGACCCATTGAGGTCATGGTGGAAAGCGAAAATAACAGAACTGAAACCCTTTTCTTTGTATGAATACCAACAGTGTACACAATCATGTGAAACTGATCACATGGTTAAAAAACTTACTACAAATTCCAGAAGTATCCACTCCATACTGGATTCAATATGAAGATGGGCAATTACATGTTCGAAAAAGCTTTTATACAATGGGCTAATCGAGTACAATGTTTGAAATCACAAATCCAACCTTACCCATGGTCATCCCTATATGCGATATATAATTTACGTAGACAGAATACGCAAACATTCAATTTGATGAATAAATACAAGCAGCAGCCCACTCAAGTAACAGCAGTATAAATAAAAACATAAACATCTCATCTAATTGTATAGTTTACAAAAATATCATTACAGATCCCTTCTGCATAATGGACAAGAAGCATGATTAAGAAGCCACTTATCTATGCAAGGAAGATGGAACATGTGATGGCACTCCGGCAAGCTTCTAACCGTTTCTCTGAGCTGAAAGTCCTATGTTAAGATAAAACATAACTCCGATTAGCTTCTTCTATGTTACTGGTTTTATAATCGAATATATATGGTTGGACTTGGAATTGGACCTGAAGGCAAACTGAACAGGAAACTTTCTCCCCAGAAGCATCAACAATGTTGTTTTTTGTGATTATGATCTTTGGGATTTTTTCAACCAAATCTCCTGCCAATCCTTTAACATCGCCCGTGTCGAAGATGTTCTGGACCTCAACAAAAGCTATTTCAGTAGCTCCCATCTGGTATCAGAAACTGAATATCATAAGCAAATTGCCATTGGATGGAACCATCACTTTGTTCCAAACAGACCGCTATGCTTTGCATATTTACCTGACTCTGGACGGCACTCAGCATCGCGGGACCAATTCGTTCCCGAACAAGTCTCCCGCTCAGAAGGCTTGCAATGACATCAATCTGCACAAGTTGCAGGGAAAATAAGTTAGCAATATCCCTGTTTTCATTGATATGGAAACTAGCAACCAAATCAAACCAGTGAAATCAATATACACAAACAAAACTGCTTACCAAATAAAGCAAACATCCAATTCCGGATTCATCAGATTGCCAAAGAACAAGAGAAGATTCAAAAACTTCGATAGAAAAAACCGCTCCAGAAATAGCCCCAACCGCAGCACCTCGGAGGAATCCGCTCTCCGTCTCTTGTCCTATCAACGCCCCAGTCATGGCCCCTAACAGGGTGCCCACTGCACACATAAAATGTCAATCTCTTCACCAATATTTGACTACATAAAGCTTAATCTCAGTCTCAAGCATTAATTTTAAGAAACTAAACAACATTGTCATTAACTCTAGGTGTATTTTGGAAATAAAAGAACAAATTCATCCAAAAATTGCTTTGTCTGCAAGCAAAATACTTTCATAGTATTGTAATCCAAAAAAACTAGAACAGCAAACATAATTAGATTTATCTCCTATCCATATAATAGTACTTGCTTTATAATAAATATCATATTTGGAGCAAAACAGCAATATGAGAAATCAAATTCAACGAGAAATCAAATTCAGTTTATTGCAATATGGATGCTTTGAATGAAAACAAAATTATAAAAAAAATAGATCTGGAAAGAGAAATCCAAAAAGCTTTAATAGAAACAATAAAGCAAAAAAGAGAAGAGGAGAGAAAGAAACGAACCTAATGCAAAGAAGAAGGTTAAGATTGCAGAGAAAACGTTCCCAATGATGGCAGAAAGGGCGAAACAGCAAAAATCTTTAAGCTTTTCAATGAAATCTCCAAACAAAGAAGGCGAGGAGCGAGGTAAACGAGATGGGTATTCGTGAAATTCCATTCCTTTTTCACTTTCTTTCAATGAAATCCCCAAATAGAGGTTGTTATGATCTACAACTCGAGGGATTTGAGAACCAAGGAAAAACTTATATCTACGAGAAAGAAAAAAGAAGTAGAAGAAGAGGAAATCTTATGGATGCTTAGTGGTAAAGAGATGAAAAGTGAGTTAAATCAACCAACTCGCATTTAAAGCTTGATTATCATTGTTGGAGGGCTGTCCCTTTTCTCTCTCTCTCCCACCCCTCTTTGGAAACATGAAATTGTCTAGCTTGATTACCCCTCTTTCTTTCTCTCCCAATTTAATACACCAACAAAGGGTTTTAAATACATACATAAATCAAGTGATTAAACACTAATGCTACTGTTCATTGTCCACTCATAATAATAACCCCCATAAGCTTCGATATATATTTTTGCTCCTTTTTATAAATTCCAAAAAATCTTTTTTCGTTTACTTGAAATAAAATTAGGGCGTGTTTGGTTGATGACATATGAGATTATCAGGGAATAGAATGTCATTCTCCCGTTTGGTTTGTCAGTAATCTATTCTCCGATAATATTTTATTCCCAATAGTAAATTTTTTGGGATATATTATCGGGAATGTGATTACCTCTTCCTTTAGGTGTTATTAGATTACCGGCGTTTTGGACTAAAATGCCCTTAATTTTTTTTCAAAAATATCATTCTTCTGTCGTTGAATAATAAAAATTCTACGAAGGTTAAAATACAAATTTATCCTTAAACTATTTTAGATTTACAAAAAAATCTATAATTATAATTTTATATAAGTTCAGAGGTTAAAATAAAATTTTACCATTTCATTAAACTTATTTATCTTTTTAATTTTGTAAAAAAATTATATAAATTTTATGAATTTAAATTTTTTAAAGAAATATATAATTAATTGTAGTAATATTATAGTAAAATTCAACTTATTAAAAAATTAAATATATAATGACAATTTAGTAAAATATACATGTCAATAATCTTTTATTCCTTTAACCAAACAATGTAATCTTATATTCCTGCAAAACGAACCAAACATAAAATACAACATTCCCAGTAATCTTATTTCTCGGTAATCTTTTATTTACACTGATAATCTTATATTCCGTAAACTAAACGCAACCGAGTAAATTACATAAATATAGCAGCCTGGGTTATCTCAATAATCTAGGTGAAATTTAAAAAGAAACTAAAAATGTTTGAGAGTTAATTTGAGATCTAAACTAGTTGTTACACGTGGAATTTATTACGAGGGGTAATAAGTTTCATAAAAATTAATAAAATATTAAAATTTGACACGAGAAATTGATAGTGTTTTGAAAATCGGATCGGATCGAATCGGCCGATTCAATTGGGAATCGCTGCTAGTCCGGTTCAATATACACCGGTTGAACCACTACTAGTGAATCGACCGGAACCGTTGAACCGTTCGAACGTTCAAACCGGACCGGCTGAAAACCAGAAAAAATCGCCAATTTTATTTTATTTTTAAATTAAACCAAACGACGTCGTTTGTTAAACGAGCCAAGTCGAACTCAAGTATTGATGAGCTCGACTCGAACTTGAAAATTTTAAAAGTAAGCTCAACTCGACTCAAACTCACGAGCTAAAAATTATCAAGTTCAACTCGAACTCGAAATATAATATTACAACTTGAACTCGAAAAGGCTTGAACTCAAAAAAAAAATTAGAAGCTAGATTGAAGCCTAAAATTCGAGCTTGATTGAAGTGAAAGAATAATTCATTCAATGCTTACCAAAAGGCTCCATAATTTTGAATGTCAAATTACCTCTATTATTTATAGAAGTTAGTTGGGATGCTCTTCTATGTTTCTTAGCCGTGAGATTGTTTTGTTCTCATATTTTTACTCTTTAGACTTTTGGGATGCTCTTCTATGTTTCTTAGCCATGTGTGATTGTTTTTTTTAAAAAAAATTAAATCAAACAATATCATTTTGTTATAATTTTTTTAGCTCCAAATTTATCTTTTAATTATTGTTATATAATTATATTTATTATTTAATATGTTCTACCTTAAATATTATGTTGTAGTTAATTTGAATCATTTTGTTCCACTTGATTTTATGGTTTTTAACGTATATATGTTATGACTTGCTTTGAATATGACTTGTGATATAAAAAAATATTTTGTATTAAATATTTTTGGTATTTTTATTTAATTTTTTAAATAATTATGATGTCGTCCGATTCTTTCGATCGGTCGGACCGATTCGACCGGTTGAATCAGTGAACCGGTAACATGAACGGTTCGTTAACCAGTCCGATTCTGAAAACCATGGAAATTGACAAGTTTCATATAATCTTGTTTCAATTCACATTACGAGTATCTTTGAGGTTTTACAATTTTATATGCTTGGACATTATATAGTCAAGCAAAACTCAACTGAATTGCTTTACTTTTGCTTTCATCTTTTTTCTTCTTTTTGTAATTGTTTGTTTGTTCTTTCCTGTCAACATGACTTTCTCCACGAAAGTAAGATGCTTGTTTGCTTGCCTTTTCACTTTCATAAACTCGCTCTAATTGGTTTTTTGGTAAACTATATTGCTGGTCCCTTTTATTCAGATTGTTTTATTTTAATCACTAACTTAAAGAAGTAATGTTTTGGTTAATTATATTATCGGTTTATTATATTTTAATCATTGACCATTAACTCATATTAGTTTGATGACATGGTATGTTAGTAAAAACATTAATTTCTAATCTAACCTTAAAACTTTTAAACTTTTATTTTTTTTCACCTTATTCTAATGAAAAAAACCCTAAATTTATTTTTCTTCTAAAATTTCTCTCCACTAACCGTCATCCTTGCTCTCGTTGTCACCACCGTTAGCCACCGCATGGCCTTTGTCCAAACTCTAACACCCGTGCACTCTCATTGTTGTGTCCTTTGTACTTCAAGCCCCACCAATTATCAAACTCTCACTTCTTCCCATGGCCTTAACATCTCAAAACAACTTTGTTTATACTCAAGGACACGATGTTGGCTCTGGAAACTTGCCAAAGCTCATGTTTATGAAAATGATGTCAGTTTCCATCAACCTGTAAATCACTACTAAAACATTAACAGTTTCAAAACCTGAGTCTAATTTAGATCATAATAGATTAATTCAGATATTGTTACATTCTCCCTAGATTCAATGTTCAATTAATGTAGGTGGGATAATTGTGGCTTTGCTAGCACTAAAAAGTATGCCATGGAATTTACCTATGCCGCTTATGAGAGTCGGCGGTTCGCCTACTTATTCAGAAGGTTGAGTTTTATTGCAGTTGTTGATACACTTAAAGGGTTCCTTTTCGTCGGAGATATCCCGAACGACTGTTGAAGGTGGTGTAACGGCAGTAAGGATGAGGGTTAGGGTTCAATTTAGATAAAAGAAATTTCGTGAGAAAAGTCAACTTTTTTTCCATTTTTTGTTTTCTTGAAGAGGATAGAAAAATAAATTTTTGGAAGTCCATATGTTAAATATGAAATTAACCCTTTTTAACATGTGACGTTATTGAACTAATGAGAGTTAATGACTTATTTATTCACCAAACATTAATTGATATATCAGTGTACCTTTATATTTAATTTATTTGATTATTCATTGTGTGAGTTTCGTATCCGTGCAAGTTTTATGGAACAGTAATTTAACAGAATCTCTCAAGCCGGCAAGAGGTATAAAATGAGGAGATCCTCTTTCAAACTAAATTTTTATTTTGTACAAGAAGTTGTCACATTTGAATAATAACTTTATACGATCATTTTTCTAATCGATAAGAATTTAATATTCTAGAATTTGAAATATTCAATCAAATATAAAAAAAATTAATCATAATTAAATATTTTTACCATATTTGTTATATGAGACAAAATGTGATTTTATCCGATCGTAGCATACCTTCTATTTTTTTAACTACACACATTTAAAAAAAATTAGTAACTAAAATTAAGTAAAAAAGATTAAATATATTTATTAAAAGAATAAAAAATACTTATACCTTGAACCTTAAATCAAACGTTTTGAACCCAACACAAAGAAATTAGAGAGAAGGTCGGTGATATTATTTTTGTTTACTGTAATTTATAAGAGGGGAGGGGGAAAGGCGGGGTAGGGAGAAGAAAAAGTGGGGAGCAGGGGCGAGAATTGAGGGGACGAAAAAACCTAACAAAGGCACGTTTTGTAGGAAGCACTAGGATGGCAGTATGACCCGAACCCGACGGGAAAACCTGAAATTCGGTTAAGTTCGAGTCGGGTCGGGTTGAATGATATCGGGTTAGGTTCGGGTTTGGGGCAAGGTATCCCCGCCCCGATTATATATATATAATATTTTATATTTTTTATATTAATTATATATATAATATTTTATATTTTTATATTAATTTATATAAAATATTTTCGGGTTCGGGTTTGGGTATAATATTTCGGGATGGGGAAAAAAATCCCCGACGAAATACCTCGATAAAAAAACCCGTCAGGCTCGCCCCGAACCCGATCCGTTGTCATTCCTAGGAAGCACATTTATTAAGTCAACGTAAAGTGCGTTCCACATGAAACGCTTCCCATGTGGCAGACCAAATTAGCATAAGACAAACCCTATACAAGACATCTTTGCTATCTGGGACTGACTCGTAGGAAAAGCGTATTTTATAGAATGTGTCTTATTGTCACGCTATACGAAAGGGTGATATTTAAGTAAAGATTGATAAAAGGGTACAAATTTTTTTTAGTTTATAGGTGATTTTTTATTAAAAAAATAGTTCAATCGAGATAAAGATAGATGTAATTCAAATTTTATAATTTTGTACAACTTATTCCAATCGTAATAAGCTAGGTTGCTTCTTGTCGTAACCAGCCTTTTTTTTGGGGGGAGGGGGGGGGGGGGGAACTGACTAGATATGACGATGAAGTTTTAGAAATGATCTAGATGAAATGATGGGAGTCGCCACCAATCATTTTAAGGTGCGGTGCGATTGGAATACCTAAAATCAGGTAATTTTAATAAAACATTTTGTTTTATAAAAATACCAAGTTTTGGACTGCGAAATTAAAAATCGGGTTCGAGAGTCAACTAGGTGTGGGGAAGGATTAGCACCTCATAGTGTCCAAAAATTAGTACCTAGTCAATTACCCTATATTTTAAATTAGAAAATTTGAGCATGAGGTTTTATTTAATTCAAAATCCATTATGTGTGCAAAATTTTGAAGATGATATTGATTTACCAAAACCAAAAATTTGTTATCGATGATTTTAAAATCATGATGCAAGATTTTAAAAATGATGTTGATTTACCTAGGGAATTACCAATGGTCTTGTTTTGAAATAGATAGATGCAATCAAACAATCAATTTTTTAAACCTAATTATACTAGGTAAAATAATTAAGGCTTTCCTCTAACTTAAAGTGTCAAATTATGAAATTTAAAGGACTTAGAGGATTAAACCTAAAAATGTAAGCTCTAATATTAATCCTATTCGATTTTAGTCAATTATTGAATCGAATAATCGAAATGGAACCTCATGCATTAATGTGAGGACAAAATCGAATATTCACCTAATTTTAAAAGTTTAGGGACTAAATTCAAAGAAACCTAAATTCAAGGACTACACCTGAAACCCAAATATTCTAATTATAGACTAAATCTAAAATCTAATTAATCTATTAAGGACTAAATTAAAAAAACTAAACCTAAGGGTTCAATCTAAAGTCAAGACATTCTCGGACTAAATTAAAGAGAATTGAAAATATATAACAAAATTAAATGAAATTAAAAAAAGGATTAAATGTATAAAACAATAATTTACCCTAAGGGTTAAATCAAAAGAAAAACATGAATAACAGGTCAAGCATGCAAATAATCCACAAAATGCCACATCAAATTGAAATAGTGACTAAATCGAACACTAAGCAAAGATTCAAGACCTTAAACATAAATCATGTATTAACATTATGCAAGCAAAGATGAGGGACCGAATTAAACAAATTACAAACTAACATCTCCAAAATTCAAACATCAACATAAATATATTAACAGGCATACAGGGATGAAAATGAAACACAAAGAAAATATAAGATTCGAGAGATAAAATCCAAATTTCATTCAGTGACCAAAATGAACATACTATAGAAGGTGAGGACCTCTTGTGAGATTTACCCAAAGGGCTCCCGGGTGCCAAAACGTGGTGAGTCGAGTATAAATGCTCTTTTTTTAGGGTTCATAAACCCTAAAATATCTTTTCCCCCTCCTTCCGCCTAAAAAATTTGAGAGTTTTTGAAAGCTCTCCCTAAAACTTCATCGACCCCTTTTAATCACCAGAATTTGGTGAGCCTCCGCCGTTGCTCCACTGCATCTTGACTCAGGCCACCGTTTTGCAGCGACGAAAGAGGTAACTGACAATTTTTTGACTCCTTTTTGTCTTCTGGACTTGAATCTAAGCTTTGTTTTCACAAAAGGGACTCCAAATAGAGTAGATCCAAGTAAAAAATTGTATCTCTCTTCAACTTCTCGCTGGAGGCGATTACAAAGTTGAAGCTTCTTTGAGAGGGGTTTTTCTATTACAAACTTCTCACTAATTCTCTTTGATTTTTTCCGGAAAGTGGTTTCTCTTCTCTACTCTGGTTTTTTGTTGCTAATGGATTATCCTTCTCCCCTGTGTGTTGGTGTTTTTGTAGGTTATAAAACGAGAGGATTTTTCTTCTCTCCCCTCGTGAGCCTCTGTCAATCTCTCTGCCAAAAATCGTTGTGTATTTGTTTCGGCAGTAATCGTGCGAAGGGATGGACAACAGGTGCACGAATGACCCCTGCTGAGGTGGCTGTTGGAAAGAAGGGAGACCACCAAACTTGTCTCGCCTGAGCATTTTGCTGAAATGGCTGCTTTCGTGGCAACCAACGTGGACTGATGTAGGCTTCTAGAAGTTCAAACGGCGATGACAAATTACACCATTAGGGTAAACCCTGATGCTAATATATTTGGGTCATTGGATCTTGAACAGATCCAATGCCTGTCCATTGGCTGCGTAGATATCATGTTAGGGTTTCACAAACCCTAAATATTGCTTTTGATATAGATTGTTGGATGAGTCCAGATCGGATGAACAGGAAGGAGCGGCGTTGGAGGAAAAAATGTGAAAACCCTAATTGTAGTACTTGTTGGGTGTTGAACATGGGCCACCCTTGGGCTTCGTATTGAGTCTCGTGGTTAGAATTTAATTTATTGGATCTATAATGAAACAAAGGTGAAACAAAAGTTAGCATTTATTTAATTTAATATGTTAATACTAATCTGCACTTACTAACTAAAATAGTTATTTAATTATAATTAAATTGCAATAATTAATCTGCAACTAGCAATCGAAACTTATATATATAATTGAGTATAATAATTAAAGTAAAAAACTAGTTGATAACCAAGAAGGATGTACATGTCTATATGAATATATATAAGAATAATAGTATCCTAATTTATTTATTATAAACTTTATATTAAATATATTTAAATTCAAATAAGATGAAAATAACTTAAAATTAAATATTTGAAATCATAATAAAAAAATTAGATCAGGAGTCGGATAAAAATAAGTGTTTATAATAATCTTTTTTTATCTATTTTTGTGTGAACAAGGATGTGACAAAACCGAAAAGATAAGTTTATGTGATATTTTCTAAAGATGCAATTTTAAATTTCTTCTTTAGAGAGAAGTTTCGAGAAAAAATTGTTTGCTTCTTTTTAAATGAAATGATATCACAATTTGTGTTTCAGAACTATATCAAGTGAAGCGAAATATCATCTTATAAAAAATATACTAATACATCATTTTTACTCAAACTATAATCGATTTAGTTTATGTTCACTTTTAGTTTGAATGATGTATTCAATTGCACAACAATTATTAAATAGGCTTTTCATGATTAAGGGTGTAAAAAGTTGACCGGCATGTAAAACTGACTGAAATCGACTGAAGTTAAATTGTTTTTGACCTGCATTGTGACGATATGAAATCGACTTGAGTCGAAACTGGTGTTGACCTGAACCCGAGTTGGACCTGGAAATTGTGGACCTGAACCCGACCTGCAGCCGACCTGAGAATGATCTGAACCCGAATTGAACCGAAAATATGATACCGAACCTGAACTGCGTCCGACTAATAAGAACCCGAACCCGAGATTGACCTGGTAAATAACTGATATTACTCGACCTGTTTTCAACCTGACCTGTTATTAATCTGATATGTAATTTACTCAACCTGTAAATGACATGATTTGTTATTGAACTGATTTGATATTTACCTGACTTATAATTTACAATTGATGAAGTTGTGAAATTATGAATTTATGATATTATAGTGTTACAAAATACATCTTCACAATTTAAGGTACATAATTAATTATGAACATTAAATTAATATATTTTTTATATTTATAAATTTTTATTTTATAAATATATTCAAAAGTTCTATTAAATTAATAAATTGAGATGGATAAAGTAAATACAAAATAATTTTTCAAAATTTATAACAAATTATTAATTGAAATTATTAAATTAGATTTTTATATTAATTGTGATTATTATAAAAAAAATTAATTATAACCATTAAATTAATTTTTATTAAACTGAAAATTAGATTTAATTGTTGAATTTCTTATTTGTAAGTTAGAAATGAGGAATTTAAGATTAAAAAATTTTGTTTTTCTTTAGGCATGCAATGGAGACAAAAATAAGAGGGAAGAATGAGCGGCAACGAAAACTAATTTTTTTGGGCGGGATTTCATTCTCCTTTTCATTTTCCATTTTAGATTTAATATAACAAAATAAATATTTTTGGTAAACTACATAAATGGTCATTAAAGTTTGAATAAAATTTTGTATATATAATTCATATGTAAACTATATAGTTTATATATAAATTATAGTTTATATTATATATATATATATATAGTTTTTATATAGTATATACTATATAAATAGTTTATATAGTTCATTAATAAACTATATATATAGTTCATAGGTAAACTATATAGTTTATATAGTTTATATATATAGTTCATATGTAATAATGTAAACTATATATATTATATAGTATATAAATATCAACTATAGTATATAGTTTATATATAAATTATAGTTTATACAGTTTATATATATAGTTTTTATATATAGTTCATATGTAAACTATATAGTATATATAGTTTATATATATAGTTTATATATGTAGTGTATACTAGTTTATATAGTTCATTAATAAACTATATGTATAGTTCATATGTAAACTATATAATTTATATAGTTTATATATATTATACATGGTTTATACATACATATTATATAAAATTATTTAATAATTTTTTTTAAAAAATTAAATGTAAATTATATAAAACATGGTTTATATATATGTATATATATAGAAAATTAAAAGTAATTAGAATCTATACAGGATTAAATTGCATCGAATTGAAAATTAAAGAAGATATTTACAATTAAACCATGACTAAAATGAAAGAAATCAAAAATCAAATACAAGTGGAAAAATAATGATTGTTGGAGGAGCATGAGCCTAATTAACCCAAAATATCTTGTTGGGAACAATCTTGCCAACTTCACAAAATTTTCTATTCCTTCTAAATTTCTCAATTTTCCTATATTATCAAAATTTCCCAATTTCCCTCTACATTCCCAAATAAAATAAAATAAAATTCACACAAAAAATCTTTCTTTTAAAAAGTTTTCTCTCACCACTCACTTTGAATAATATATATATACTATATTAATATAAATTATAGTTTATAAAGTATATACTTTTTATAGTTTATAAAGTATATACTTTTTATAGTTTATACCTATATAGTTTACATATATAGTTTATATATATAGTTCATATAAACATAATTTATATATATAGTTCATAATAATTATATAGTTTATAATATAAATATAGTTTATATATGAACTTATATTATATATATTATGTTTTTTTCAAAATTTTAAATGAATACAATTTACTATATTTTTTTTTTATCATTTTTTCATATTTTGCATTTATTTCGATTTCATCCTTTTGTGTTTTTTAATTTATTTTAATTTTAAGTCTTTCACTTTTATATGTCTTCAATTTAGTCCTTAAATTTATATTTGCATCTTCATTTGACCTATTGTTAGTTGTTATTTATATTTTTGTAACTGGTCCATAACTTTTTAAATGGGTATAATTTAGTCCTTTTTATATTAATTTCAACCTCAAAATTTAAAATTATTTCGATTTGATCCCTTTCTGTTTTTTAATTTATTTAAATTTTTATTTGTAATTTCATATTTGTTCAATTTAATCCTCCAAATTATATTTGCATCTGAAATTGACTCATACTTATTATTTATTTATATTTTTTAATTGACCCATAATTTTTTAAATGGGTATAATTTAGTACTTTTTTGTATTAATTTCAACCTCACAATTTAAAATTATTTCAATTTGATCCCTCATCAATGTGTGTTGTTTACTTTATTTAAATTTTAATATGTAATTTTATATTTGTTCAATTTAATTCTTAAATTTGTATTTTTCATAAAATTGAACAATGATTATTTATATTCTTAGTAATTTACTCTAAATCATATACAATTATAAATTGCAATTCAATGTTCGTTGTCGAAACCGCCTTTCGATTGGGCCCCATAATCGGGCTTCGACTTAGGAAAATGGATTTGGAGTCGCCACCGACCATTTTAAAATGAATTTGGGTGGGTCGGACACCATCTTACCTGATCTGCGTTTTTACCAGAAATGTGTCGGGTTCGGGAGTCGGTTACGGTCAAGGAATGATTAGCACCCTTGAACTGCCCTTTCGGTACCAATTAATTTACCGATTGTCTTTAATTGCGAAAATTCGAATTTAAATTGAAATTTTAAAATTCAATTCGAATAATTACCTTTGATCGATTGAAATTACCCCTAAAAGGTAAAAAAAGTTAGATAAAAAAGATTAAATAAATCAAAAAAAGAAAGAAAAAATAAATAAATAAATAAATTGAGAAAATAACTATAAAAGTATTAAGAGAAAAAAAAATGTTCATTCTTTAAAAAAAATAAAAGAGTATAAAAACACACACACTATATATATACACAAAACAATGTTAAAAGAAATAAAGAAAAATATTAAAATTAAAAATAAATAAATAAATAAATAATATATATATATATAATAAATAAATAAATAAATAAAAAGGATTAAAATAGCAAAAATAAAAGGTAAAAGGACTAAAATGAAAAAAAAACTTAAAGTCCCAAAACAGTACCTGCAAAAACTTAAATGACCAAATAAGTATTAAACCCGAAGTACTAAACAACAAATTAAAGATAATGACCAAAATAGAAGAAAACAAATATGAGGACAAAATTATTTAAACATGTTATTCTCCAATGACCCATGTAATAATTAACCCAAGAATTTCCCAAAGGCACAAAAATCCCTTGCTTTCACGCGTGTAATTCATTTCGACATTTACCTCCTTTCGTTCTTTCTTTTTTACGCCGCTGTTCTCTTCCTCTTCCTCTCTTCTTTTCACTTTGTTTCCTTTGATCCGAGATTCCAAAAAATTAGCGGTGTTGCCAGCGGTGAACAGTAAGCTTTGCTTGTGGCCGATGTCGACTTTAACGACGGAAGACGATGATTTTACGGAGAAGAATAGTGGTTACAACCGAAATGGTAAATACTTTACCTTTCTTCGTATTTCTTTCCCGATCGTCCCGTCGATTTCCCCGTGTGGATCTCTTGTAATTTCTTCTTGTTTTCTCGGATATTCGTATGATTGTTCTACCGTATTTCTCAGCGATTTTCTGTAAATTTCGTGTGTGATTTATGTCTCTAGTAATCGTGTGTAAGCTCCTCGTGTCATTTGTGTTCGATTTACATCACTTTATAGCCAAAACTGTTGGCTATTTTTAGAGTCATATATGAACTAAAGCACTGCTTTGTTTGTTGGGGATGGATTGTTGCTGAGGAAATCGCCAGATAGTTCGGGGTTTGATCGGGACATGCAGTTGGTTGAAGAGTCTTCAAAAATGGCGTGCCACGCTTGGAGAGTTGGAAGGCTAGGTTCTGGATTTGAGGGTGTATTGCTGGGCTGTTGACTTGGTCATGTAAATGGTCTTTGAGCCTGTAAAAAAACATATAATAAGAAAATATATATGTAATATATCATAATAAAAAATAATAAAATAATAATATATATGTAATCAGACAAAAATTAGTGTCCATAGCTGTCCCTCTT